GCCTTGGGAAAGAAAACCCACAAGAGAGGAAGGACGCACTCAAAAGCATGGAATGTCTCAAGCACAGCTGTTACATCCTAATGAGCGTTATTCAAAGGCCCCGACCTTCAGTTGCTACTGACAGTCAGTCTCAATGCCAAGGCCCCCACAACCTAGCAACCCTGACTTTGAACGTCACATGACGCCAGGGGCATCGGACCCCAAAATGTGCTTGAATTTTGCCCTGCATTTTCTTTCCACACCACTCAGACACAGCACAAAACAGAGCCATTTTCTCCAATCCTCTGTCTGGAATTTCCCAAGGCTAAGCTACAAATAAGAATGTCATCAGAGAAGCCAGGAGCGAACTGCTGTCAGGAACCGAGCTAAGGCCAGTCAGCCGGTCAGCAGACTAGGGTTTCAAAGGTCAGAAAGACAACACCTCCATGCCCACCCAGCCAGAGTCCTGGCCACTCAGTCATTCACTCCACTTGCCAAGACACGGCAGAAGGAGGTCAGAACACGAGTCGTTTCTGGCCCGGCTTCATGCACTGGAGATGCCCATTTAACACAGATATTACACAGCTCTTATTCAGAAATGGAGTAAGGACCGTCTATAGCACAGATAACATTATACAGCAAGGAATCACGGCCAACGGTGGGGACTGGGGGCGGGGGTGTAACACGAAAGGTCCAAGCCATTAGGAGGACCTGCTCAGGACCCACGCCTCCCAGGACCAGCAGGGCCTGGGAAGGATATTCCAAGGAATGGACTGACCAGAGCCCTGTCCAGGGACACCCGGCACCAGCAAGGGTAGATCAGCCTGGATCATTCCATATCCTGATACGCCCAATATGTGGTAATCCTACAACCACACAACCAACGAAAGCTTTCACCAGCTCCTAAAATGAAATGATGTCACCATTCAAAGCTCATGCAGCTCCTGCTATGTGCCAGGTAAGAGCCGGCACTGAAGAAGAAAGATTCATCGAGGTCCTGCCCTCAGAGAGATCGCAGTCTGGCTGGGTAGGAAGTAACAGACAAACTTCAGTCAAGTGGGTTTTTGGAGACCGTCTCATCTCTTCTCTTCCTTCCCGATGAAGGGATGGAGACTTGCCAAGGGCCACGCAAGTATTTAGCGACAGTGACATGAGACCCAGTGGCCAGCCCAGACCCCCACCCACTGTCCCCCAAAGAGACCCTGCTGCCAGAGACTCAAGTCATGTGCCCAGGCTTGCCATGTCCACATGCCTCTATGAGGACCCTTCTGAACCTTGAACTAGTGAAGACCCAAAGTGGCTGATAAATATTTGATTTTTTTTTTCTTTGGTTTAAGTTTTATGTTCACGTGCAGTCGTCCCTAAGGAAGGAGGCCGTTTAGGAACTGCTTCAAGAATTATTTCCTTCCTGGGGCGCCTGGGTGGCTTAGTCGGTTAAGCGTCCGACTTTCGCTTGGGTCATGATCTCGCGGTTCGTGGGTTTGAGCCTCGCGTCGGGCTCTGTGCTGACTGCCAGCTCAGAGCCTGGAGCCTGTTTCAGTCTGTGACTCCCTCTCTCTCTGACCCTCCCCTGCTCGAGCTGTCTCTCTCTCTCTCCTAGAAATAAATAAAAACATTTAAAAAATTAAAAAAAAAAAGAATTATTTCCTTCCTGAGCCTAACACTCTTTTTGGGAGGGGCTCCACATCAAACACCGCCACCCCCATGTGAGTCCCAACCTGCCACTTACTAGCAGGTGACATTAGGCAAGTTACTTCTCCCTTGCCCCAACCTCCTTCTGGGCAGACCCGGGTCCTACATGCCTGAGTCTCTCTCGGCCCCAGGCCCTGCCCCGGGCTTCTTTTCTTTCTGGTCTCTCCTCCTTTGGGTCTATGTCTCATAACCTCAGAACTGCCCCCTCTCTGAGCCTTCAGGCTGTGCCCTCAGTTCCTCTCCTCCTCCCATTTCCCAAGGAGACACCCTCACCAGACCTCCAGGGGTCCCCAACAGAGCTCAGAGCAGGTACTGCCCTTTCTGGATTCCTCCCACACTCCGGAGTTAGTGTTTCTGACTAACTCTTCAGTATCACCAATGGGTGGCATGTTCTGGAACATTCTGAAATCTCGGTGTCCAGATTACTTCATGTTTTCCCCGTGTTTCTGAAAGTTAGTTCCTTTACTGGCAGCATCACTGTCCTGGTTCCCCCAACCCAAGCTTCGCAGTCAACCTGTCCTTTGGAGTCTTCCTTGCGTGCTTCTAGCTTTCCTGTCTACAAGGCTCTGCTTTATGACCAATGCAAATTGTCCAACACCTAACTTTTCTTACCTGGAACACTAAACTGACTTTTTTTAAATAGTTTTGTTTGTTTGTTTGTTTGTTTTTTTGAGACAGAGAGAGAGAGAGACCAGGGGAGGGGAAGAGAGTGAGGGAGACAGAATCCCAAGCAGGCTCCACACTGTCAGTGCAGAGCCCAACGCAGGGCTCAAACCCAGGAACTGTGAGATCATGACCTGAGCTGAAACCGAGCGTCAGATGCTTAACCGACTGAGCCACCCAGGTGCCCTGAAACTGCCTTTCTAAATGGAGATCATAAGAAAGGCCATTCTCACAAACCCTTCAATCTGGGGTATAAACAGAAGGGATGAAAGGCAAAACAAATGGCCTTCTCAGAGGGGACCCTAAATTTTACGATGGGCCCAGCAGTCAGCAGTGATGAACGTGGGTCACATGAAACCCTTACGAGGTAGGACAAGTCCTTATTTTATAGATGAGGGAAATTCAAGGTGAAGGATGAGAGGAGTACAGAACTGGACCGTGTCTGACTTTCCTTTTCTTTTCCACGATGCTCTAAGCTAAAATGACAGCAGCGGATGGTCGGCTAGTACCTAAGAACTTTTTCAGCTTCAGAGAAATTAAAAACATATACAAACCCTCAGAGAGAGAGAGAGACTGTGTGTGTGTGAGTGTGTGTATATGACTGTGTGGATGTGGCCCCGGGGCATGTCTTGAATTACTCTGGGGTAGCTGCAGAACCCCACTGTATCGTACCCCCAACCAGACACCCCTATACTGAGGAGGCTCATCTCCCATGGGAATGTCGCATACCCTTCGCCTACATTTTAGGGCTAGACAAGCAGGGACCAGGACACAGCCCTATCTGAAAGCATAATTCTTAGTTTAATGCTTCCTTGCTAAAGGAAAAAGAGTTCCTCCATCGACATGATTTGTTCAAGCCCTTTTTGGAAATGGGCTATCAAAGCTTGGGCAATGGTTCAGCTATGTAAGACTCCAATCCATTAGGCTCTAGCGCATGTGGAAATGATTAATGTGTAACTGCCGTGTGTCCTTTGGTCCATCAGCAACCACGAAAGCCACAGCAAACGCTGAAAGAAATACAGGAAAATCCTCAAAGTGTTCAGGCCAACTACACTTTTCCAGAAGATGAAATTACCCTTACTTTTCCCATTAAACGTAGAAAGGCTGGGCAGAATAGCACAGTGCTAAGGCAGTGGTTAGGAGGACCTCTCTGATTCATGGTACACTCAGCGGAGGAGGGGAAGGGAAGAAGGGATTGAGCAACTCTGTGCCCATTCACTAAGTGCTGAAAATATAGAAGGTATTCCTGTACACTAAATCCTCAAGGAGCAAAATCTTCTCCATCGTGCAGATGCGGAAGAGATCAGAGGAGCAAGTCACTTGTGTTTCTTGACCCAGTTCTCAAACAAACTGGCCCAGCGCTCACTATCCACAACCATGGCGAGCAACGTTCCAGAAAGGACCACAGGGAGGAAAAAAATAAAAAACGAAACAGTATCACCCCCCACCCCCACCTCTAAAAACAGCGACGAAAGGATTCCTCAATCTCTAGACCAATGAAAACTTTCACCGGGAATGGAAAACTCATACAATTGGCCAGTGGCCACTTTCTCTCCTTAACTCGTTCTACAAATTGGGGAAAACAACTCAAAGTCACAGCTTTTAAAATGGAGATCGTAAAAAAAAAAAAAAAAGAGTCATTCGCCGCTGCTGATTTCCAATAAAAGGCAGAGGAGCCTCTATAAGATTGATGTTTTTTTTCCTTACAGAAATGTGTGGCGGGAGAAAGCGGCCGGCCCGGGATTTGACTGCACGTGGGGGCAGGGCTGGCCACCTGTGGCCGCGCGCCTCGTAGCGGGACTGGGCGGAGGGGACGAGAGGTACCTGGCCTCGGGTCCCCGCTGGAGGAAGAGCATGCAGGACGGGGAGAGGCATTTTCTCAGCATCCAACTCCCCTACGCCAGCTCCCACCCAAGCACACATTGCGGGAGACGGAAACCCCTTTGGGGTTTTGTCCCACGTGCTTTCAGAGTCAGAAGTGGCACCGCTGGCCTAATTCTCCCGAGAGGGGGCGGGACAGGGCCCCTCCTGGGCAGAGCAGGAGGAGACAAACTCAGTGGGGGTGGGGGGGGCTCAAATCCTGACTCCCCAACAGGCCTGCAGGGCTGGGGGCCGCACGTCCGCCGCGCAAGGTGCCCGGGAATAAAACAGACCGTCCCCGAGGCCGGGAAGGGGGCGGCGGGGAGCAGAGGTGACCGCTGTAACCGGAGCTGCTATACTGATTTCTCTCCTGCCGTGCGGTTCCCATTTCACAGACAGGGCCACCAAGGCTGGGAAGGCAGTGAGCTCGCCAAGCCAGGGTCAGCGGTGCGGACGTCCGGTGGCCCCGGAGACGCGCGGGGGAGCCGTGACCGTGACCCCTCCAGAGCTACCCTCCCGGGGGGTGAGGGCCTCGGCCCCGTCGGCCCCGCACCCGACGTCCCGGGCCGCCCGCCCAGCTAGTTCCCTGGAGGCGACAGGTGCGCGGCTAGTGGCGCCTTGGCGCCGACTCCGGGGAAACTTTCCTGGCCGCTGCGCGCTGTTTATGGTCTTGTTTTGCAGCGCTGGGGCCCCGGGCTCTCGGGCCAGCCCAGCCATTGAAACCCGACACGCGGGGAGGGGCCACCGCGCCGGCCAGCCCGGGAGGCGACCCGGCTCCGGATCCCGACGGCCGCGGCCCCGCTTACCTGCGGCTCCGCGAGCTGCCTCCGCCTCCATGCTGGGCTCCCCCGGCGCGGCGTTCGGCCCCCCCCCCCTCCCCTCCTCTCGCCGCTTGAGGCTGCTCCCGCCCCTCCCCCGCCCCCACTCCGAGGCTAACCCGCCCCTCCCCCAGGACTGCCCGGGATCGCGGCTCCCTCCCCAGAGCTGGGCCTGGGGGCCTCCCGCTGCGCAGTCCAGCGGAGCCCCCCCCAACAACTCCCCAGTTTGCAAAGCCAGTCCGACACCCCCGAGGAGTTTATTATTTCCCTTCATTTTTTGGAAGAGAAAACTATTTGCATCCCATCCCAAGGCCAGTGTCTCTGGTTCCAAACCCAGTAGCCCCTCTCTGAGCCCCTTCTCACTTCCTTGTTCTAATTCCATTTCTGAGGACCAGAATCATTTGCATTATTCCTTTTCGAAAATTTACAGTTTAAAACTAACCCAAAGACCATGAATGTCACACATAAGGAAGGGCATCTCCTAACCTTTTCTGCCCATTTCGGATTTCTTCTGATGCCTGCAATGTGCCCATTTTTGCTGATAACCAATACTTTCATTTATTAAATTGTTCAGGTTTGTACTCAACTTGAAATAGCGTAATTCCCTGACAGCCAAGTATTTCTCCAGTAGTTCTTCTTGGCCTGTTTCAAGGTGTTTTGTTTTTTTTGTTTTGTTTTACAGGGGAGGTGTGGAGCAGGGGGTGGTTTTAAAATGCCAAGGGCCTTGGACCCTATAGTCTGTGGTCAGTCAGCGCCTGCTCTCTTGGGTCGGCAGTTCTGAAATTGGCCCCTGTGGCTGGCTGACTGCCCAAGCTGCATCCTCAGTCCTTCTGCGCCTGTGCCGCAACACGGGAGGGTCTAGAACTCATCTGCGGGCCTGTCCCTCCGCCCTCAGCAACCAGCTGCTCAGGGGAGCCTCCCAACTGCCAGAAAGTGTGCACCCCCACCTACTGAGCAACAGACTTAACATAGAGGAGGACATCCTCATGCATGGGGTGAAAAATGGCCCCCCGTTGTGCTTCCATTACTTTTCACAGCAATGTGCACGTTAATGGAGACCAGAGCTGGAGACTGTCCTTAGATTCATCCTTGAGTCCTTGAAAGTTGGAGGTTTCATTTTCTACATCAATGAAAACGCAGAGCTCCCTGGGCAATAGCATTCAGAACCCTTAACTTCTCCAAACACCTGTCCTGTTTAATAAGCACGGGCTTATTAGGCTCTCAGGATGTGCCCTATCCTGTTCTCGATTGAAGCCATTCGGCAGTGAACAAGATTAATAAAATCTTGCCTTCCGAGGCTACTTTCTAGTGGATGAAAGTGAGCAGGAGATAGAACATAACAGTGTGGTAAATATGGGCTGGGGGGGGGGGAAATGTTTAAAACAGAGAAAGAGAAGTAAAAACATGAAGAAAGTGAGGGAGGTAAGCATGTGGAAAATGGCAAAAGTTACAGCAAGTGCAAAGGCCCTGAGGTGGAAACAAGTCTCTTTTGGGGAGTCTTGCATCTTTGTTGAACTCCCGATAATTGATAATCGTGGGTGCTACTATTGGCGCACAGAGCTAAAGGCTTATTAATCTCTTCTCTAAAGCACACTTATTGGGGCACCTGGGTGGCTCAGTCAGTTAAGCGTCTGACTTCAGCTCAGGTTACGATCTCACTGTTCATGAGTTCCAGCCCCACATCGGGCTCTGTGCTGACAGCTCAGAGCCTAAAGCCTGTTTCAGATTCTGTGTCTCCCTCTCTCTGACCCTCCCCTGCTCATGCTGTCTCTCTCTCTCAGAAATAAACTTTAAAAATTTTTTTTTAAAAAAACATACTTCAGGGGCGTCTGGGTGGCTCAGTTGGTTAAACTTCGACTTCGTCTCAGGTCATGATCTCACGGTTCCTAAATTCAAGTCCTGCATTTGGCACTGTGCTGACAGCTCAGATCTTGGAGCCTGTTTCAGATTCTGTGTTTCCCTCCCCTGTGACCCTCTCCCACTTGCACTCTGTCTCTGTCTCACTCTCTCTCTCTCTCTCAAAAATAAATATTTTTTAAGAATTTTAAAAAATAAAGCATACTTCTTCAAAACCTTGTTACTTTTTTTAAGTTTTGTATTTTTTTAATTACTCACATAATACCTGAATACATGTTCTTTCAGAAAAAAAAAAGGATTTCAGATTGAAAAGGTCCCTGTTTCCTATTAAACTCCTGTTTCAAAGTTGGTGTTTAATCAAAAACTCCTTCTTTCCCTTAATAATTTCTGGGCTTTCTGTCTCTCTCGAATAGGCTGAAACTACCCCAAAATAAGAAAATAAGTTCTTCTACATTTGCTTCCAATATTTTTATTGTTTTGGCCTGTAGATTGGAATTTTAAATCCAATCAAAACTCATCTATGTCTCTGGCATAAGGAACAGATCTAACTAGAACCTACTGTTCCCACACCACCAAATAGTCCATTCTTTTCCCCATTACTACGACTTGCTTCCTAAATCATATATTAAATTCCCATGTACATGAGGCTCTTCTTTTGTTGACCATTTTTGCTATTTCTACTACAATACCACACTATTTTAATTACCATAGCTTTATCACATGTTTGGACATCCAGGAAGACAAGCACGTCCTAATCAAATATTCAAACCAGGTAGTTAAGGATATTGAGAGTTGACACAGATTACATCTAACTTGAACATTAATTTCATAGCACTAACATCTTGATTTTTTAAGTTTATTTATTTATTTTGGTGGGGGGGGGGCGGGCGGGGTAAGAGGTAGAGAGACAATCCCGAGCAGGCTCAATGCTGTCAGCAAGGAACCTGATGCAGGGCTTGATCTCATGAACCATGAAACCAAGAGCTGGAGACATAAGGGACTGAACCACCCAGATGCCCCTGAGCATTAACATCTTTAAAGTTTTGAGCCTTCCAATCAAAGACATAAACTCACCTACATTTATTCAGGTCTTTTTTGGGGCGGGGGGGGGGGGCGCTAAAGTTCTAGTTTTTACAGCTGGGCCTAATACATCTTTATATTTTTTTAACTTTTTCTTTATTTTAGAGAGAGAGAGGGGTGGCTGGGTGGCTCAGTCAGTTAAGTGTCTGATTTCAGCTCAGGTCATGATGTCACAGCTCCTGAGTTAGGCTCTGTGCTGACAGCTCAGAGCCTGGAACTTGATTCGGATTCTGTGTCTCCCTCTCTCTCTGCCCCTTCTCTGCTCACTCGCGTGCTCTCTCAAAACTAAATAAACATGAAAAAAAACTTTTTTAATTAAAAAAAGAGAGAGAGAGAGCAAGCAGGGGAGAGGGACAGAGGGAGAGAGAGAGATCCTTTTTCAATTCTAAAGTTTATTTATTTATTTTGAGAGACAGCGCACAAATGGGGAAGGGGCAGAGAGAGAGAGGGAGAGAGAGGATCCCAAGCAGGCTCTGGACCACCACCAAAGAGAGCCTGATGCAGGGGTTCAAACTCACAAACTTTGAGATCATGACCTGAGCCCAAGTTGGACATTTAACCAACTGAGCCACCCAGGCATCCCAAGAGGGGGAGAGAGCGAGAGAGAGGGAGAGAGAGAGAGATTCTTAAGCAGGCTCCATGCTCAGTGCAGAGCCCTACGTGGGGGTCAGTCTCAGAACCCTGGATTAATGAACTGAGTAGAAACCAAGAGTCAGTTGCTCAACTGACTGAGCCACCCCAGGCACCCCTTTTATATTATTTTTTATTATTTTTATTTTTTGGATCTAATACATTTCTCATGCTAGGTTTATTCCTACATGTGTCTGATATTTGTTGGTCATTATGAATGGGCTTTTTCTTTTCTCCACTTTTCTTTTCTACACTTGCTAATTGGGTATTACCGGTACATAAGAAAACTATTGGCTTGGTTTCCTATCCAGCCACTCTTATGAGGTCTAATAGTTTTTAAAGCCAATTATCATAGATTTTCTAAGTAGAGCATCTGATTGTCTATAAATAAGTTGTTGGATGTCTAAACCTTCCTCAAACCTCAGCCACTCTGCACTTACTTCTGACACTGAAATTGCTTTTAACCCTAACCAAGAAAAGAAAAATATATTTAAATATGTATACTGAAAAAATGGGGGTCCCACAAGGCCTAGAGCAAGTTTTCAGTGTGGTTCTATCTTACATCTAGAAGGTAGTTTAGTCCTCGTAAGGCCGCATTTATCTACATGGCCATTTCCTCAGTCGGAACACAACTGTTCTCGCCGTTCCCAAGGTATTTGTGAAATTTGAAAGAAATCCCAGTATTTAGGGGCGCCTGGGTGGCTTAGTCGGTTAAGCGTCCGACTTTCGCTTAGGTCATGATCTCGCGGTTCGTGGGTTCGAGCCCCGTGTCGGGCTCTGTGCTGACTGCCAGCTCAGAGCCTGGAGCCTGTTTNGTCATGATGTATGACTCTTTCCATATTGCTGGATTCAATTTGCTGAAGGGACTTGTTTGTAGTTTTCTTTCTTTGTCTTTTCTTGGTTTTGGAATCAAAATAATGATGATTACAAGATAATTTGTGATATGATCCTTTCTTTTTATTTAAAGAGGACTTTGTGAGGGGCGCCTGGGTGGCTTAGTCGGTTAAGCGTCCGACTTTCGCTTGGGTATGATCTCGTGGTTGGTGGGTTCGAGCCCCGCGTCGGGCCCTGTGCTGACTGCCAGCTCAGAGCCTGGAGCCTGTTTCAGTCTGTGACTCCCTCTCTCTCTGACCCTCCCTTGCTCACGCTGTCTCTCTCTCTCTCCTAGAAATAAATAAAAAAACATTAAAAAAAATAAAAAAATAAAAAAAAAAGAAATCCCAGTATTTAAACAAAAGGGCTAGCAAGCTACTGGGTTTTAATAAGTAAACAAATTCCTTTTGTAGTAGTTGTTACTTTTGGGTCAAGGAGCTGTAGTCCTGAAAAAAAAAAAAAGAGGAGGGGCGGAAACAGATCAAGGCTTAGCAAAAACGGAAGGACAAAATATAACACAGAAGAAAAATAGAGACAAAAAGGAGAAAGTTTTGTCTCCTATAAAATGTAGGGAGAACATTACCT